TATCGAAAGATGAAGGTACAGATGATTATATTTTTAGTTATACAATATGCATAAATGGGGTCTTTACGTGAGAATTTACAAAGATGCAAATGAAATTAGAATCATATATTGCAATTAATTCATTCGAATAACAGTATTCGTTGTGATTTACATAGTGGCAATATATTTCAAAATAACTTACATAATGCTTATATAAGTGATTTAGAAATTGTAATATCAGTTAATAAAAAGAATCGCACCAGAAATTTTGCAAGGAAAATCATTCACCAACGAATCAGATATTTATTCATTTGGAATGATTATGTGGGAAATTTCATCAGGAAATATTGTACTGTATTTTCCGACTATAATCAATCTTTACTACAGAAATTTGCCTTAAAGGATTAAGGCCAAATATCCTTAAAGGCACAGAATCGCGTTTTTTTTTTTGATAGCTACTCTGGAGCACTCTGGTTTAGAGATCACATACTTCACCACGAAGTACATTTTTACATAGATTTACGTAGAATATTTATTTAACTTTATTAAAAAAAAATTTTATATTATCTGTTATACAAACCCAATGCAGATTTCATAGTTATTTTATACAAAGTCTATATATATGTTTCTATATAGAATTATGTAAAATTACAAAAAAAATCAATTTAACTAGGATTAAATTTAAAGTTAGGGGTTTGAGGAAGGTTTCTACGTAGCATGCAGAACAGTTTTATTTAGTACTGTATATCGAACACTGATTATCTTAGTAACTTTTGAGAAATTACTAAATGTAGATATAAAAAATAATTTACATAAATTTTATACGTATAACATTTATATAACATTTATATAACTTTATAGAACTATAAGTTTTATAAAAAAATGTACTTTGTGATGTTTTATTTTGTAACATATGCTAAGCTTCTTAAAGATGGCACAACTAGTAAAAGCATTTATATTCTATTGAAAGCGTGCTGCTGGGTTCTTAAATACGACTTTAACGTTTTTTTTTTGCTTATCATTCTAATTGTTGATTAGTAATGCCAAGCAAAACATTCAAATATTGCAATCTGAAACTTTTAAAGAAAATATATTCCCTTGATAAATTACTAAAATAAAAAAAGTTCTTAGCTTAAATATTTTTCTTTTATAAGTATAAATAATATGACAAATAATTTTTGTGCAAATTACTTGTCGAATAATTAATACGATTATTAAATCAAATTGCGCAATAATTAATGTATTATAATCGAAAGAACTGATATAGAGATGTGGTAGAAACTGTTACGCTCACTGTATACGTAAAGTGTATTTGAATGTAGTAGTATAGAAGAAGCAATTACTGTATATTTATAAATTAAAATATTAATATATATATATATAGCTCGGTAAATTTTACCCTTAGCCTTCATTTTACTAGTTTTATAACTTCAGTTTCTCCACATTTCATCAATTTCCCCATCTCACCTTTTTAAAATTTATTCTTGGCAAAAGTCAAACCCTAGTTTCGCCAACGTGAAACCCCTAGGTCTCGCCTAACAATTATATGTCCGCCCATCAATAGTGCTTTATTTAAAAAGAAGTCAAAATATTATTTAGTTAGAATTGCTGGTAAAACTACTATGTTATGTACTACAAATGCATAATTAGCACTTAAAGGATTTCATTGAGAAAAAATGCATTATCGTTATGGTTTAATGAAATCTTTGTCGTGCCGATTTTTCCAAAAAATGGGGAACGATTAAGCCGGTACCCACGTGATTTTTAGGATTATTCATTCAAGTGGAGTCGTAACCACTCACACCCAGAAAATGTGTACCAGGTTGGGTTCGGATGATGGTCCGGAAAATAGGTCTTCGAGTTTTTTTTTACTAAGACTTTATTTTCAATTATAACGATAATATAAAACAAAATTTAATGTGATTTAAAATGGTATCTAATACATAGAAATAATACAAATAAGCTTCATTTTCTATATTCTAATAGTTTATTTCTTTTTAATCATTTGGTTTGTTTTCCTGTGACGTTCTTCGATAAATTATGTACTCTTTTTTTGCAGTTGGCCTTTTTTTTTACACCCTTCATTTTAGTTGATTAATCTTTTCTTTTTGAATATTCGTTGACCGTAATGAAAATTTTGATAAAATAGATAAGGTGCTCGTCTATCGTGATTCAGATTTTCGTATCCTTTTTTGAAATGTTCAATGCCGACAAGAAGTTGTCTATAATTTTAATGTTACTAATGACAACTAATTAGATCTTCATTTCTAATTATAAAATTATTAAAATAATTAAGTATCTTGGTTAGAAGACTGAACATTGCTTATTTTCACATATGATCATATTAGCTTACTCATAAGCTTGCCGAAGCGATATAGGTAGATTCAGTAGATTTGATATATCCAATGATTTATATAGTTCCTAATTGGATGGTTCTTGCTTGTAATTAACGAAATAATAGTAAAATGCTTGTAACAAATTTTTGCATCGCTTTTTTTTTCAGAAAAAACCAACAATACAACTTTATTTATTAACTAGATGACATACATAATTTTCGTTCTAATTCTGACTGTTTATACTATTCCGACCTAACGTTCCGGACAATTATCAATGATACTTTTTCAAATAACGTTATATTTTTGACCAGAATGAGGATCAATCAGATCCAGCTGACCCGGAAAACTTGGAGGCAGATCGCGTGGATGAACACATGAATGGAATAAAATAGATTTGAGGCACAGATACAGTGAATAATTAACTGCTTGTTCACTATTAATTTTAATTGTAAAGGATGTGTTACCATATTGCGTATAAAAATATGCTCTATCTCTATGTAAAAATAACAAATGTATTGCTGAATAAGGCTATAGATAAATGGAAGCAATGAATGTTTAAATCGGTAATACTTTTTTATATTTAGTTATGTGAAAGCTTAGATGAATATGAAATTATTCATGCCCAAATATACTTTAGATTTGTTATATTTTTTGAAATTTTTATCATGTGATTAGAGAAATCATACGTTTATATTAAAAATTCGGTATGTATGAAAAGTGAATTTCCTGGTTTAAAATTACAGTAGTTTTTAAAATCTCTATATAACGATATCGATATGTATATCGATATGTATATCGATATGTATATGAGATCAGGATGAAGCACTATGCACATTCTTCGCAGCAGGGAAAAATATGATGTAACATATTAACATTATTATCTTTGTTAACTACTTGTGCATTACAAATCGTGTAACTGAGTAAACCAGTATACGAACATGTTATTTCCTTAGTATGCTTTATATTGTTTTATCCATTTTTTGAAACGGTTTAATATTTACTCACAACGTTGTAAATCTATAGTAGTTAGAGATTTCTTATACAACTTATCATACAGTACGATAAATATATTACCGTAAAAGTTTAATATTCGGAAGATAAATTATCCAACGTTTTTTTTAATTTTTTAAACTTAGTAAGTATGCATTTCATAGAAACCAATGGATTCCTCTTCAAGTTGTATTTTTAGATACACAATTTTGAAAACGCCCAATTGGCTCAATTTGTAAATGAACGGTTTTTGTGTATCAGTAAAAAAAGACAAAGGATTTTAGTAAATTTCAATGCAGATCTGTGGCAGGGGAATTATTATTGAGTTATTCCATATCATATAAATTCAAATCTCGCGCGTTATATTGAAAAAATTTTTCCTACCATTTCAATTTTTCCGAACTTTTTTTTATAACATTTATCCAATAAAATGATATATAAAAAGCTTTTCAATATACATACTTCTTTTTTGGGGCTCAATCCTCCGTAAAATGAATAAATTCCGGACAGAATAAAATTATTTATATTTAATATATTTATTAATACAAAGCCCGGCTTTTAAACTTTTTATTGCTTTTATTGCTAAAAAATTTTCTTAAAAATGGACTAAGCGCGTAGCTTGCACAAAATACTTTCAATATGCAACGGAACAACGAATATTTATCAGCCTCATTTATCAGCCTACCAGCCATAGGCACATACACAGAAATGTGAAGAGTACTGGAGGAATAACACCGAAATTTAATCTCATGTAGCCTGCTATTTTCAAGTTTTTGTTAGAAAAAGGCGTTTCAAGTTTTCATGCACGTGATTGGAACATAATGATTTCCGTATTTGTCGGAACACAAGGTAACGTTACGAACTAGAGTTCAGAACTGACTTATTTTTTATACGTTAAAACCGTTAAACCCGGTTTTAACGTATAAAAAATAAAATAGGATCGGCTTTATATTTCATACGCTAACTGCGGGTCACGAGTTTGTTAAACTATATAGAGAAATCATGTGAATGAATGATAGGAACTTGTACGATACAGGTAATAGTAATTGCATATTTGTTATTAGCAAAAAGTAACTAATACAGACCGAACCAGAAACCGTACGGGCATCTTAAAACTCGGTAATTAGACTTGTCTCTTAAATTTATTTCCAACTAATTCTTTCCAAATGCGTATCTTCATTAAGTGCATACCTTCTTTTTACTCCCAAGAAAACGTAATTAGAGAAGCGTTACTGTATTTGAACACAAAATATGCAACGCATAACACTATCTTGTCTTCAACCGAATAGATTCTCGCATAAAGTGCACCAATTAATGAGATCATGATATTCTGCTCAAAATCAATAATTTTAATGGTCCACTCGGAGTTTTCGACAACATGCAACTAGATAGAATATCAAAGCGGAAAAATTGCGGCAATATACGACAATTAGACCATAATCAGTTAGAATAGTTGATTTTCAAGGACTACAAATATTGTAATTACCATAAAAGTTTCACAAATCAATAGCCATAAAGTACGAATAGTAATTCTTGTCAGATCATAGGGTCTCAGTTGGTTTTCTTTCTTTGGCCTTGTTTCATAGAAAAAAAAAATCCGCAAAGACTCAAAAATTAATAATAATACAAAAAAACTAAGGTGGTCTAAGATTTTTACGCTAAAAAATATCAAAGAAAAAAAAAAAGAACATCATTATGGACCCTCATGAAAACCAGCTTCCCACAGTTGATGAAAATAAAAATTCTATTATTGGATGCTCCAATAGTCGTATCGAAAAAAACGACGACAAAAATTCTAGTGATAAAGATTTGGTGGCCGAAGGTCTCTCTACTGTTGAAGCACTTGTAGTTGTTAGTGAAAATGAAGATGCTGCTAGCTTTCAAGCAGAAAATTCTACTACTGTGAATCATTCCGAAAGTGATACTGTAGTTGAACTACCTGTTATTGAAGATACTAACTTACAAGCAGAAAATTCTACTGCAGAGGATCATTCTGAGAGTGATACCGTAATCGAGCCTCCTTTTGTTGAATATGGTGCACCAGCAATTGATATATTTCCTTATTGTCCGATTGAGTTTCCAGAAAGCACACCTTTGCTCGACCAGTACGTCAGAGAGTTAACGTCACTATTGCAACAATAATACTACATTTATAAAAATTTTTGGGTGAATGTTTTAAATACGGACTTTATGCTTCAGCATGTTAGAAAATTTTATAATAGAATGAGGGTGTGTAAACACATGCTACTCATAGCATTGTTCGTAATTTCTCATGATCGGGAATATTGCTGGTGGAGATTCATCACACATAAATAGAACATATAAATAGAACATTTAATTTTTATCTTCTTTTCATACTATATGGCTAAGTGTATAAGGGCATAAGAATACGCATATATATTTTTTAATAAAGTTAAAATTTTCCGATACATATAATTGTTCGATCTTTTGTTTGTGGAATTCCTATTATAGTAAAAAAAAGCATGAGCTTAATTTTAATCCATTGATTAACGTTTAGTGTGTGTTTATGTCAATTTCATTTTCTTGGCAGTAAAGAAATATGATTGAAGGACTAACGTGTAGGTAACCTGTTATATCTGTTATGTCTTTGACAACTAGAACATTAACTAACTTTAAGCGATAAACTGTGGTGATTGCATTGCGTTTTAGTTTATAATTACGTAAGAGACTTTACCAAATATATATTCAAATTGTTTAGATGATTTGCGTCATATATAACAGATAATAAGTGCTAACCTGAATTTAAATAATTTAATGTACTTAGGTAAAACCACATGATAGCAACAATGTTTGACCGAAACTCGTGGTTTAATATTAAAATTTGCGTCAGATCAAATAATGTCGCTAATACCTATCTTTACCCAGAGCGTCCAGACTTATGCGATTTCAGATTTTTCATTGTTTGAACAATGAAATCCCCCGGAATCGCATAAGTCTGGACACTCTATCCTTACCCTAAACTCAGTATTTAAATTTCTGACGCAAATTTCAAACCGATGTACAATATTTAATTTATAAATTTATCAAGCTAAAAAATATATATCATATTACTGGACACTACCTTCTTTTTTTTAACATTTAGTTTAGCAAAAATTGAACAAAATTTTAGGGCGGTGTAAGATACTTTAAAAACGTTCTCGGGTTTCAGCTTCGCATAAGTTTCGGGATTTTAATTATTAAATTTATTATTAGATAATCCTTAGGCTTTCTTGCAGTCATTAGTGTATACTATTTTTGTCATCAACAATTTCAGAAGGAGATGTCGTCTCGGACTAACACAATGAAATTTTCGGCATTATTATGTTAACTTAGAGACCAAACCAAAAATTAAAAAATTTCTTACCAAAATTAAAGGTCAGCATAAATTACACCTGATATTTTAAAAATTGAACTAGTTCGAGATTCCGTTTTTTTAAATTTATAACAGGTGTATTTTTATTTACTCCGACAAAAGAAATTATCTGTCATAGTTCTTGTTAATTACGTATGTCATGTGAATATGATCGAATTTGTTTTTATTTATTTACATATTTGTTAAATTAATAATATCTTAAAATTATGATATACGTTTACGTACATCTCGATATCCGGAATTTTTTCTCGTTTGCTCAATCAAATACTATAAAAAGAATATCGCCTGTCTTATCATTCCCTCAGCCGAAGGCTAAATTGGCTTAGCTTTTTTTTGTGATTTTAAGAAACTTTATCCGTAAAAGCGCTAAGTCACATTTTACTGCATCTACTTTGACTTTACAAATAGATTTCTTTGTGTGTATTGTTAGACTAAGCCAGCCATTATAAAATTCTGGATGTTTATGTTTAGGTTTAATTAAGATAAATTCCGATTCCTTAGACAAGATTGTACATTAATTAGATTAATGAATAAGTCCTTAACAAATTTCATTGGTCCCTATAAAAAAAATTTATAACTTTCGGCTGAGTTTTTAATAAAAAATTGTGGAAAAAAGAAATCACGCTTCCACTATTTAAGCGGTAGAATTTAAGTGGTGGAATATAAATTTATACGTATGAACCTATCGTTGAACCTTGTAACTAAATTTAAGTTCATTCCCACAATGCATATGCATTTATATGATAATGAAAATTCTTAATTCATGTAACTAACCTTTTTATGACAATTTATGATGTATATGATGTCATAATGAAAATTCCCGCACTTGATAAATAAAACTCTCTAATCTATGTTTAATTATATAAATTTTTAAGTATTATCTGTTATATATAGTTATTATATGAATATCTGGTGTAATTAATTACACACGGGTTTATATTTAAACTACGTGGCCGAAGGCCACGTGGTTTGGATATAAACCCGTGTGTAATTAGTTACACCCAATATTCATATTGGAATTTGTATATAAGATTGGAATTTGTTTGTAATACGTAGGATTAGGATTTGTACGTACCTTGTTTGGGAGCTTTACTAATTTGGGCTTAAGGTTTTAACTAGCCCTATCTATAGTGAATTTCCCTCAAAGGCCCAAGCTAGTTTGGACGGCAACTATAAAACCACCTTTCCAATTCTTTAAGTTGACAATAAGCAATGAAAATGTAACTTTAAAACCATCTTTCCAATTCTCTAAGTCTAATGAATTATTTGATGGGTAATATACACTATTTAGAATCTGTATACATACTTATATATGTTCTTTGTCATTTTTCAGTTTATATCATTTCGAAATTGACATATATCAATAAAAACAATGTGGTGAAATTGGTAAAGTTTAGCGCGTTATTTTGAGACGCGCATGTGCGGTAATTCGAATCATTTTAACAAATTTGGGTCACAAGAGGAGACACTACCTTTTTAATGAACTTAGCCTGAAATATTCGATCAAAATATGTAATATGGTCCATTTAAGTGGGCACGTTATTTTAGGACGTGCATGGGCGTTATTTTGAGTCAAAAAAAATAAATTTCAAAAAAAATGAGAGTTTCGAAATAATGGCCATGTGCGTTATTACACGTCAATATGGTAACTATAAGAATTGGTATGTAATGGATGCTACTACTTCACGGAAAAAGGAGATTCTGCACTGTTAACATAACTGCGAAGTCCTACTACTTATAGATGGGTCCTTAATTACCATCAAATAAGGTCCCTGCGCCACTTACTGCAACCACGGATACACCTGTGGCCGAAATATTTCCAATGCTTAAAGTTATCAATAATTTTGTAAAGGCGGTAGAAATCAGATTCATATATGTTAAACCAGATTCGCAGAAACTCCCTTTGGTATTTCGGCTTTTTCAGAATAATTTTCGGTTAAAATTTAAAGTTTTGGTCATATATTAAGTATGGGATTGCCGAAAATTCCAGAGTCTGCTGAAATTATTCTGAAAAGCCGAAATACTAAAGATCTTGCATAAGTTTCTGCGTAACTGGCTTAACGTGTATGAAGCTGATTTCTACCACCTTTACAAAATTATTGATAACTTTAAGCATTTTCCAAATTGTCGAAATGGTCAAAATATTTCAGCCACAGGTATGCCGCTGAGCCAATTATACTTACCGGTACCATGTTACTTGTGGACTGGGTGAAAAAAAAAGGGGTAATAAAGCACACAAGGCGAGCAATAAATGCCTTCTTAACGACATTCTACCCTTTCTGCCTCACTAATCATACTTACCTTCTTACTTTCTTTACTCATTAAACTACACTCATAACAATGACAAATCACATACGACCATAATATTAACTGTAAAGTATTTGATCTCGCAATAATGATCGCCCTGTCACTTTATAAAAAAAAAATCGAACCTTAAAAAAAAAAATGAATAAATAAAATTGATTAATAAAATAATTGAAAATTAAAATAAATAAATAAATAAATAAAAAACAATAAACAAAAAGATTAAAAAAAATTAAAAAATAATATACGTAATATACTGTATAGTCTATACTATTAAGTATATATTTATACTTATACGCTTAAGATAAAATGCTTTTTTAAAAATTTATAATGTATAATATTTTTTAGATTATATCAATAACATCCGGGTGCCCTTGGGCCTTAAGATGTTATTTTATTTGCATGGCCTAATTAATTCTATCTTCACTGTTTTATATAAAAATATGTATAAGTTATTGAACTTGAACATGTTCATGAACTTTTGAACTAAACTTGACTTAAAAGTTTAAAATGTTCAAGTTCAGTATATAGTTGTTAGACGAAACCTCGAGGTTTCGCGCTGACGAAACGCGAAACCTAGTTTCGTCTTTCGTCAATTAAAATTTTAAATTACGAAATGACGAAAGGTGACGAAGCTGACTGTAAAGGGTGACAAAATTAATAAAAGACGAATGTAAATAAATGTTGAAAATCATTGAAGATTATGTGATAAAAAAATAAACAAAAACGGAACTTTATAAAAATTACGTGTACAAAAAATTTTATCGTATAATAGGCGCTTGAATTGTTTAAAGGGAGTTAGAAATGAGTATTCTATACTATATTATATATATCAGTTCTAGTGAAAAATCGCTTGGTGCTTACTTTGTGATATTACAAATTTATTTTGTGCTAGTATGCTTTAATTCATTATTTGTGTTATTCCATGAATATTATGGATTTTTGATTTGACAAGACTATTCCAACCGGTCTAATAACCCTAGCATTGTCCAGAAGTTTACTTTTGCTGGCATACATATAATTTCGGATACTGATCTCTGAATATTATGAATGTTAATTCAAAGAAATAACATTTGTTTTCTTTTTATGTTTTTTTTTTTTTTTAGTGGGAGCGCTAGGGTTTCGTCTTTTGAGTGTAAGGTTTCGTCATTTAAGTTTAAGGTTTCGTCTTTTTGTCAGAGGTTTCTTTCGTCTTTTGGTCATGTCTATCCACATGCATGTTTATATTTGTACTTTAGTGCAACAAAAACACATCACAATATGATAATTATCATGTGCTCCGACATACAATATATAAAATATACCGCATTGTCGCGAAATAACACAAATTTCGGCCTTAATTCGGGCCAAACCTCTAAATAACGACAATACGGTATTATTCAATAATGATGAAGCCCGGAGCAATGCACCGGGTCAAAGACTATTTACTATATTTCAGTATTTATACTCTTTTAAAATCCCACCTATATATAAATATCAATACTTCCCACGTTTATTCTCACGCCATTTTCGTAGTTGAATTTTTTCTTTCTCTACCTTAAAAAAATGTAGTATCTTCTTCGATCAGAAGTAGAGCTCATCAAAAAATACCTGGGTTCTAAAAATTTACGAGGGTGTTTACATAATGTCAAAACGTAACGCTACTTATAAGCCAACATCGTTATAACCGTTGGGAAGGCCAACATTCAATTTGGAAAAAAAAAATTCCTGGAAATTGCCAGGAAAATGACAACCGACGAAACAATAATCAAAAAGGTAATTTTTTTAACTTTGTAATCGTGTATACGATTTGATCCCATCACGCCAGGTTAATAACGTGATATCGCATGAGCACCAATGTGCCACTTTGTAGCTGTCATCGCAAATGTAATTTAACACATACATATTCTTTATTACAGTTTCGAAAAGAAGATACCGATAAAGAATTCTGGATTAGCATCGATGATGCGAGAAAGATTGAAAAAGTCAAACATATCTGATAACTTTATTTTGTTTAAAAGACGAAATATGAAAAAAAAAATTGAATCTGGCTCCTACCTAAATAAATTGTATGGTAAGTGAAATTATGAAAAGTCATGAATTGTGAAAACAAAGCCGCTGAAGATATTGACTTAAATTTAGTTGACGAAAATAATGAGAGCGAAGATGACGTAAGTGAAGATGAAGTCTATGATATTGACTTAAATTTAGTTGACGAAAATAATGAGAGCGAAGATGAAGTCGATGATATTGACTTAAATTTAGTTTGACGAAAATAATGAGAGCGAAGATGACGTAAGCGAAGATGAAGTCGATGATATTGACAAATTTAGTTTGACGAAAATAATGAGAGCGAAGATGAATTCGATGATATTGACTTAAATTTAGTTGACGAAAATAATGAGAGCGAAGATGACGTAAGCAAAGATTAAGTCTATGATGATGAAAACGTGGACGATGAAGATCAAAATGGAGATGTTGTTAGTTTGGGAAGTGAACCCGATGATGGTGTAAGTTTGGGTGAAGCCGATGATGGTGTCAACGACAACATAATTCAAGGTAATTTTAAAAACACTTTGTATATTATATTAATCACAAACAATAATTCAATTTTTTAAAATTTATGTAAAGAAATTCATCGGATAGTGAGAAATGAATTGAACAGTATCCGCGAAGATTTTTTTATTCGATTTTATATCAGGCATATATGAGTGCTGCAAGGGAAAACCTGTAATTCTCCTAATATTGAATTAGATAACTTTGTATATTTTGCCGGGAAATTTTAAAAATATTAGCACTAGCTAATAAATAATAATTGTTAATTAATATAAACATAACATCGTTAATTAATACAATGCGTACGTATCAATTATGAATTTTTATTTATTTACATATTTGTTAAATGTACTATAATAGTATACGTTTACGTACATCGATCAATCCTCGTTTGCTCAACCAAATACTATAAAAGGAATATCACCTGTCTTATCAATCCCTCAGCCGAAGGCTAAGTTGGCTTAGCTTTTTTGGTGATTTTAATCGTAAAAGCGCTAAGTCACATTTTACTGCATCTACAACAATCTACCATTACAAATAGATTTCTTTGTGTGTATTGTTAGACTAAGCCACTATAAAATTCTGGATGTTTATGTTTAGGTTTAATTAAGATAAATTCCGATTCCTTAGACAAAATGTTAGGCTTGTGCATTAATTAGATTAATGAATAAGTCGACTAATATCCTTATATAACAAATTTCATTGGTCCCCTATAAAAAAAGTTAACTTTCGGCTGAGTTTTTAATAAAAAATTGCCGGAAAAAAGAAATTACGCTTCCATTATTTAAGCGGTAGAATTTAAGTGGTGGAATTTAAATTTATATGAACCTATCGCTATCGTTGAACCTTGTTACTAGATTTAAGTTCATTCCCACGCATTTATATGATAAAGAATTTTAGATTCATGTAATTCATGTAACTAACCTTTTTATGACATTTTTGAAGTGTATGATGTCATAATGAAAATTCCTAAATAAAACTCTCTAATCTATCATCCTTTAAATTTCACATGCTCCAATTTGAAGGTTTTGTATTACGATGCATTACCTTTGTTAATGTCACAATAGCATATCGTGAATGCCTTCTGATTATTATGTCATCTAAAATACACGAGATCCGTTTATTTGTCTATCAGTTATCTTTGTCAAATAAACAATAACAATAATGGCTTAAATCATAATTAGTACTACTTATTAATCATTTTGTTGATTTCCTCTATTGATTATTGTAAAGAAGACACGAGTAAAAAGACAATGTTACAGTATATACTGTATATTATTCGAACTGATGACACAGCACACGTGACTCATAGTCGCGTTTGTTATCCCAAAATATTGGACGCGACGATGTTGTTTATATGAAAATTTTAAACAGTAAAATTTTCGTGTTATGACTAATAAAATTATTATATAGCATTCATACTAAATTTAACAAGTTAAAATATTTGTACAGAATATTTTATTTACTATTATATGCCGTATAGTAAGAAAAGAAAAAAAAAAAGGTTACGAGAAAGAATTATGCAATCGTTTTTTTTTTTTTTGTAATTTTTTTTAATAAGAAAAAAATAATTAAACTACCCTTTGTAAATGCAATATATATAGATATTTAATATTAAACCAATATACAACCGTGTAATACCAATATTTTTACTCTCAGAATTATAAAATATATTTAAGATTCGGCACTGTTATTAGCAACTTCATTATTGGATTCAATGCTATTATTAACCACTTCATCATTATTGGACAAAGATGTATTCTCCCTCTTCGCTTCATCATCATTATTGGATAATGTACTCTTTCTCTTTGCTTCGTCATCACTGTTAGACATCTTTATTTCGTCATCAATATTGGACACCGTACTCTTCCTCTTTGTTTCGTCATCGCTATTGGGCATTGTACTCTTTCTTTTTGCTTCGTCATCGCTATTGGACATTGTACTCTTCCTCTTTGCTTCGTCGTCGCTATTTGACATTGTACTCATCCTCTTTGCTTCGTCATCATTATTAGACATTGTACTCTTTCTTTTTGATTCGTTATCGTTATTGGAGAATAATAAACTATTTCTTTTTGCTCTATCATCATTTTCGGGAAACAATAAGCTCCTTCTCTTCGATCCATCACTATTTACACCTAATACACGTTTTTCAACATCTTTAATCACAGCTACGAAGTTATCCAGCCAATGGGACTGTCTTTTTTCCTCTTCAGGAATTATGATATTTTGTACAATCGTTTCATGAACCTCAATAATTTGATTATTTATGTTCTCTACGTTTGTTGTATTATTTACTTCGTTGGTTTCATTAATGTTCGTTACTTCATTAATATTTTGGGACTCGTAGTTATTAATATTGATCGTTTGAACGTTTTCAATGGTTTCGACACGTACATTTTGTGAATCTAAATCTTCTACGATATTAATATTTTTAACATTTGCATTTGTACTCTTTACATTCTCAATGGTTTGAGTATCAATATATTGTGTCTCAATCTTTGTTTCAACGTATTGAGTTTCAACATATTCAACATTTTTATCAACAACACTAATTTCAACATTAGCATCAATTTTAGTATCAACATTTTCAACATTAGCGTTAATATTTTCAATATTATCGACGCTCTCTACATTTTTAACATTCTCGACATTTTCCACCAATTGATCAATACTTCTTTCAACGTTAACATTCACGTTCTCTACTTTAGTTTCAACATTTTCAACATATTGATTTTCCACATTAATTTTATTTTCAATATTTTCTATAAATTGACTTTCGATAGTAGTATTCTCAACATTTAAAGTTTCAACTTTTTCGATTTTTGTATCAACATTTTCGATATTGGTAACAATTTGAGTTTCAACATGACTACCAATTTCAACTTTTTGTTCAATGGCAACGTTATAAGTTTGTTGACGAATTTTTTCTTTTTCATAATCAGCACGTGCAGTTTCAATAGTCTTTAAAATTTTTTGTTTATCATCCTTGAGAATTTTAATTTGATCCATAATAAATTTTCGTTGTTTTCCTTTACCTACACCCCATGTATTCAAATGGTCTTCTGCCTATTATTATTAATATAATTAATAAATCGTTTAAATAAATATATTTACAATATGTTTAAAAAAAATTGAAAAGCAATATAATTGAATACATTTAGATGTTTATTTACCTTTGAACCATTTTTCACATTAATTTGTCCTTTAATAATCAAGATAAGCTCGATTGCTTTTGCTGATAATTGTTTCTTAACATCCGCATTAAGAATTTCTTGACAAAATTCAACTATAGCAGTAGAATGGTCATTTTCTGGTTCAGATGATTGTGGAAATTCTTTCAATAAATGTTCCATTAAAATTAGATAACCTATTAACAAAGTATCAACATTGTCTGGTAATGAACAAAAGAATGCTTCGCTATGATCGGAAAATGAAACAAGTAAATAAAAATATATATTTTTTTACAATAATTAAGAAACAATTAATTAAAAAATATTCACCTTCCACGTTTAAGAACTTTATATTTAACATTTTTTAATGCAATTGCAGCACGTTTTTCTCTAATTTGTTTAAATTCTTCACGTGCTACATTATATAATTTCGTCCAAAATTCAGAGTAACCTTCAGGTTTTTGTTTTATCGCGTGGAACTCTTCGAAAATTACTCTCCATTTATCGTACCATTCTCCCGCAGGATATTCAAACTATGGAATAAGAGTTAGAATATTTGATATTATTATTATTTTTTTTTATAATAAAAAAAAAGAATCATATTAATAATTACTCGTAAAAAAAATAATCAATACTTAAAAAAAAAAATTACCGAAAAAGATTTAACGGCACATACAACAGCGGCAAAATAATTCTTGATTGCAACATGAGCAGCAGCATCAGCGATATTTCTTACGAATATAAGACCATATTCTAATTTCGTTTGATCATCTTTAATTTTTTTTAAACAACATCTAATCTCACGAAGATAAAAAGTTATATTTGGATTTAGTTTAGCTGTTGTGCGTTGTGATGCATCCCAAAATCGAGCTATACTTTTATAAAGGCGTTCACGTGTTTTTTGTTCTAACATTGAAACTGATCTTGAAGCTATGTAGACTACTGATGACATCGCTTGTCTATATGATATGATAAAAACAATGTACACGTGAGTATAAATAGTATGAATAGTATAAATAGTATAAATATTATGATATAGTATGAATAAAAAAAATATAAATCATCGAATATTAAACTTACAAATGAAGTTCTAATTCAGCAGTAGTTTCACCATATTTGAGAATTTTATAATCACCAAGATATACAGCCGATCTCGTAACAAAAGTTTGAACTAAAAAAAAAATTATTATTATTATTTTTTTAAAAAAATTCGCGCATAAATTATATAAATCATATAATTTATATATAAATTATATAAATCATATAATTTATATATAAATCATATAATCATATAAAATCATTGAGTTAGATCCATACCAACAGTATTAGTAATTTCTTCTTCAGGCACAGTCACCAAAGATTCCAGTACATTAACTATCTCGTGTAATGCAAAGTTTCGTGCTCTTTTTTTAAGCAAATATAAATGTATTAATATATTAATACAGTATATAGCCATTCAACCCTCTCCATCTCATTTTTTTAAAAAAAATGATGGATCAACTTACAAGTTGTTTTCCTTACGTAAATTATTCAAAACAACCTGATACTTTGTAATATCACTCATATTCAAATCATTTTTAACAATTAATTCTCCATCATTTTCAATTTTAGTAGCCACTTTAGCATCATCAGCGTTCATCACCTCAGTAACCGCGGTAGAAAGTTTCTTATCAATTGTTATTTTTCGATCAAGTTTTGATTGTTGCTTTTCATCCTTTGAATTTTCATCTTCTTTTGGAGAAGAAAAGTCCATTTCTTGTGGAGATTTGACGAGATCTTTATCATCATAAGTAGTTTGTTCAACTGAAAGTGTATTTTTTGTGTCTTCTGAAATTGTTATATTTTTTGAAAGTGAAGTTGTTGTAGTCATTTTTTCGTTCTTTAAAAAAACTTCGATACTCGATATTCGATATTTTAAAGAACAAATATTTATAACTTGTTCGTTCGTTAAACAGAGTATTAAAAATTAGATTGAAATTTTTTGTTCGTTACAAAAAAAAAATTAATATTAGATTAAGAAGAAAAAAAAAAAGAAAAAAAAAATTAAGAAAAAAAAAGAGGATAGTTTCTGGAAAAAAAAAAAAAACAAAACTTCGAGAAATTATAATGAAAATTTTAATCGATAGGATTGGTTTCTTCGTCTTTTTAAAAATGATTGGTCAAAGATATGATTAGTTTCCGCTGTAGAAATTAATTTTTTTTTTGCTTTACAACATAAATATTCTACTAATTTTTTATTTTATAGTGAAAAGAAGTTCTAAACGTTACTCTCAAATATAAAGTAAGACAATGTATGATTAAAAGAAACAATCTATGTAAGTATGCAAGTATGTATGCTAAAAATATAAAATGTGGAGAAAGGTTCACGATAACTCCGAAAATATATGGAAAAACAGAGAAAAAAACGATTTATAATTTTCTGAGACCGAGCTTACTCGATGCCTCGTCCATTCAAGTAGAATTGATTTGGTAATTTTAAACAGATGATTTCTGTTTAACAAAATACTGTTGTACGAGTTCATCAAAGTTAGTTACGTTCAATAAGACGATTGGTCATCAATTCAATCGTGCAGTTCTCACAGTGTGGAAAAATAAACCATTTTATTTGATAGATTATCGATATCATTGGCTTTCCCTTTTTTTGATAGACACTTATCCTTGTTCAAAGATTTATTTGTAGTACAAATAAAGATCTTCAACGTTTGTGTTCGTAGCTTTTACCATTACAGTTTTTAAGGTAGACTTTTTTTTAAAAGAAATAAGAATAAAGTTTTAAGACCTTCGGTGAGAAAAATGATGTACGTACTTTAAAAGAATAATTAAAAATTTTATTTGTATATGTGGTAAAGATATGTTAGTAGGCATATATGTATGTGGTGGTATATCAGATATGCTTATTACCGTATGCATAATATTAAGGTCAGGATGTGACCCAACTTTTTTTTAGATTAATGTATATCTTATCCTAATTTTATATCAATATTCTTATTTTTAATAGTAATGATCATTTTAAAATTAAAATTCCAACCTTCGAATTGAAAAATTCGAATCATCTTTTAATCGATTAGAAAATGATTCGTAATTTTGATTCAAAATGATCTAGATGATAAGTACATAGGAGGTCCTGTATGTACCTATCATTTCGCGTACATTTAAAACCATCATTATTAAAAACATTTAATTATGCATATATCAATTTCATTTCACATATGTTTTTGTTAATTACTACCAATGTGTAATTTCTTGGTATAATATAATGAATTAAATAAGTAATGAAATGCATGCACTGTATCTCATCTCGTCATTTATGCTGTTTACAAACCTGTACATTTCATTTATTTTGTATATAATTGGTGCATAAATGCCTTGTCAATACGTGTAGCGAACCAAACAACATAAATAACCTAAAGTTTATATATAGGTTTTTTTTTTTAGCAATAAACACTGAAACAACTATAAAATTTTTCATTTCACGTGCATCATATCACAAATAAAAAATTTTTTTCCATAACATTATCAGTTATAATTTTGAACTCACGCTTAGATACTAATTTTATACGACTTGGACAAATAGCAATCGAACCTGGATATAACTTTTATTAAAATTTAATAATATACATAATTTTAATAAAACGTAATGTCCAGGTTAGGTTGCTATTTTGTCTGCATATGGTATACGCGTATAAAAATGGCACAGTACCACGTATAAATCATGTATTAAATTTAAAAAAACCATTAATATAGTTCTTGATCAACTTTAGGATTTTCCGCCTGAAATAATCGATTTATTTATACTAATTTCTATCATCGCAACTTGTTTATTCTAGTGCATAATTTCACATATTTCCTTTCCACGTTAAATCTTTTAAATTTCGGGAGAACTTATTTTGGAGTATAAATTTTATAAATTTGCCCCGCAAAAAATGAATATTAATTATAATGACCTAAACTTTATCAGTTATTGTATTTTACTGTACGTACGTACGTACATACATGCATACGTTCGTAAATGTGTATTAAAAACCATTATCGTTTTTTGACTTATATAAATGGAAATTTCAATAATCATGCATGTATGTGTATTTTCATTGATTTTTTTTAAATCTTATTGCTACGTACGTACGTCCGTATGTAAAAAATTTTTTCTCAAATGATCTATTTTAAGGAAAATAATGAAATCTATAATACTGTAATAGGTATCATTAAACATAACGCCGATTTGCATAAATTTCGTGATAAATAAACCCCATATATTGATACGTAAAAAGAAATTTTTGTTCTATATTTAGGTGTAAAATCAAACCTAAAAATTTGAATGTATATAATATATAATATATATAATATATATAACTTATCTGTTATATACGTACGTACGTACTGAGAAATAATCGCTTTAAAGTTGGAAAAGTACTATACAATAATTTCATAACATTGTTAACTAATAATTAATTATTTTAAGTATAACGATGAAATTTATTTATATTTCACAATTTATTCTAATAGTAAAGTTGAAATCCGTATCGGTATCATTTGTAAAAAATAATAGAAATAAGTAAATCAAATATAATTTACTAAGTAGACATATTCGGTGCTACAGAAATCGGACGTTCTGCAGATTATGATGTCACGGGAAATTAAATGATTTTCCCGATTTTATAAATTTCAACAAATACAGAAATATAAAGATACGATAGAAAATATAACTGATCAATAGACAATCTATAATCTCCGAAATTTCCCTCGATCATCATCACAAAAATCATGGGGTTAAACTTTTTGCAATAGATTTGGTTGAGATATACAATCCACGAAAATAGGATTGTTCTCTGAATACTATCTTACAATTAAAGTTGTGATCATGTGGTCCAATTTGGATGATTTTTGTATCATTAGAATCGTCTCACTGAGACGATTCTAATCAGTGTTGGCAAAATATAGACATGGAAATATGGTCCATTGGACATAAGGCGCTTAGTCCAAATCAAACACGTGGATAGAATAAGCCAAAATGTCAGGAATATCCCGAAAAATTCGGCTGGACATGAACACTATTTGGATTAGTCCATGTTCATATTTGTCCAAGTCCAAATAAAATTATAGTCCAAAAACAAATGCCAACACTGAATCTAATCGTACCAAAATCTTTCAAATTGGATCGCAGGATCACGAGATATATAATCCGGCTTTTTCATATAATTTTAGGTCATACAAAGTTAATTTTTTGTTTCTTATAAAAAAGTTTTTTTTTTTTGATCCGCTGACCCGGAATTTCATTTTAAAGATAAAAAATTTTCTTTTTAGAAATAATAATATGGGACCCGAACAGGCGAGATGAACATTTTTCTACCAAAAAAAAACCATTCCAAGAGAAGTGATTCAAGACAATCGATTTAATTTCCATCGTTGTGAAAAAAAAAATAAGGAACAATTCATTATGTATGGGGATACGTGGGTGTGTTTTACGCGACTAGTGTAAAAATATATAATTTTTTTTTGTCTCGAATTTTTTTCGTTTTTTTTTTTTAGGGATAGGTTAGGGTTTAGGGTTAAATTTGATAGTTAAAGAGTATGGATGGATTTCAGCAAGGCCTGTGTTTTTAAATCTATCCCCCAGATTTCAGCATCAGCTGCGACATTTTTTTTACGATTTTTAAATTTAACGTGATGTTTACATTTACTGTATTTGCACGAATTTATTTAAGTTGGATTATTTGATGGCTAGCAAATTTGAGTTTTATTCATAAAATTTATGTAATTAATATCATTAGATTATTCGGGTCCTCATGTATCTCATGACTCTTATTAATCAAAATTATAAATGTTTTTCTTAGCCGTTATTAGCCGGCTGATTAAACTATCAGCTAGCTAAGCGGCTAACTTAATCGGCTTGGAACACTACTAGATAATATTAATTTAGAATATAGTTAAACACAAATTCGGAACAGATTTGGGATTTGGATCGAGTTTAGGACATAAATTGGGATTTGGTCATTTTCAATTAATAAATTATGTTAATAATAATTGCTCTATGAAAATTCAATAATTTTATTTGAACTTTACTTAAATGCAAATTAAGATTAAAACATTGTGACGTTCTCATTATTTATAATATTAATAATGAGTGCCGCAAAGAAAAACCTGTAATTCATATTAGGGGAATTACAGGTTTTCCCTTGCAGCACACATATAACCAAATGCTGACGCTCCCTAACCCTCATTTTTAGATTTATCTATCCTTTCATTTAGTTCGGTGATTAAGTCTTCGCGAAAGGATTTTAATTCTTCCTTAATGATTCGCTGAATCACTTCATATAATTTTAAAAAATAGATTAATAGAGTCATGTTTACGATAACATAATATAAAAAGTTTTAGAATTACTTTTCATTAGATTTTCGTCATCGTCCTCTGAAGTTTCATCGGGTTTTTCACCCTCGCTACCCTCTTCACTTTCGTCGTCAATTTCTTTGTCATCGTTATCATCAGAAGAATCTTGACATCGTTTTTTTCGAGAACCTTCAGCGATCTCCATTTTTCTTTTATATTTGATCTTTTAAACGAAATAAAGTCATCAGTATATCTGGTATTATCAGATAAAACGTTATTTTATACTTACCCTACTATCTTCTTCGTTTAATTTTAATTGCTTCTCGCTTATGATCTCAATACTTCGTGCGTTTTCGATTCCCATCCAAAACTCCTTATCGGTGGGTGCTTCCATTAGCTGTAATAATAAAAGATTTTATTTTATTAATAAATTAGCCTCATGCGATATCACGTTATTATGTTGTCACAAATAATCCAAAATTGAAAAAATTACTTTATTGACTTTGCTTCCGTCTTTTAGTTCATCCGTGGCAATTTTCTTAAAATTCTTTTTCCAGACGGAGTGTTGATCAGACCAACAAGCAAAACGCCGTTGGCTGATAAGTAAAGGTGCGTTTTGTCTTAGAAATTCATTGTATGATAATTGTTTTGACTTTTTGGAAGATTTCAGATACTTCTTTATGAGCCTCATTTCTGAGTTGGTAAGGTACGTCATGGTATAGAAATGTATAGAAATGTATAGAGAAAAAAATTCAGCTCCGAAATAGCGTGAGAATAAGCGTGGGGAAATTTATAATTACGCTATTACCCGGGTCGACTCTCATGTCGGGTATATGAAATTCTACTTCAGGATTGGACGAAATTGACGATCCTTAAAAACTTTGAGCGAAGATATCTTAGTAACTACATAACTAAACCTTTGAAAAAAATTTTATTTTGATTCTATGAAACCATTGAATTAAAATGAAAAATTTACATCGATTTTTGATAGGTAGTTACTGAGATATCATCGCTCAAATTTGTAAAGAACTTAGCCGCAGTCTGTTTTGATAACGTCTAAATTTTTTTTGAACTTTAAACAAGGATATCTCAATAACTATCTATCTAAAATTGATGAAGTTTTTTTTTATTTTGATTCTATGAATCCATAGAATAAAAATAAAAAATTTTCATCGATTTTGAATAGGTAATTATCGAGATATTCTTGTTTAAAGTTCGAAAAAATTTAGACGAATTATCTAAACAATTAACCATAGCTGCCGCAACCGGAAGATCCTCGATTTTGATTGGCTAATAGCCCACGTTACAAAATTGGTTACTAATTTCCGGCCGGAATTAACTTTTTAATTTTTTCATTACAAAAATAGAAATTCTTAAAAAATAAGCCCGCAT